TATTCAACTTTTTTATTGCCCAATAGGCCTTGTGTTCAAGTTCGACGGGCAAGTGACATGCCTTCCCATACACTAATTTATACGGAGAAGCACCTATGGGAGTCTTGTATGCAGTTCGATATGCCCATAATGCGTCGTCTAACTTCCCGGCCCAATCTTTTCTATTTGCACTCACTGTTTTCTCAAGAATCTGCTTTACTTCTCTGTTTGACACTTCCACTTGACCACTCGTCTGGGGGTGGTAGGCAGTGGAGGCCTTGTGCTTGACTCCGTATTTTGGAAGAACATTGTTCAACAGTTTATTGCAGAAGTGCGTTCCTCCATCACTGATCAACACCCTTGGAGTTCCAAAGCGTGTGAAAATGTGCTTCTTGACAAAGCTGACCACAACCTTTGCATCATTAGTGGGAAGAGCAATGGCCTCAACCCACTTGGATACATAGTCGACTGCCACCAAGATGTACCTATGACCATTAGAGTGTGGAAACGGTCCCATGAAGTCAATTCCCCAAACATCACAAAGCTCCACTACCAGAATGTTTTGCAGCGACATCTCGTGCTTCTTTGTGATCGTTCCGGTTCTTTGGCACATGTCATACATTTTAACAAAGGCGTGTGCAACCCTAAATAATTTTGGCCAATAAAAACCTGATTGTAGCACTTTCTGGGTGGTCCTGTCTCCACCGTGATGACCTCTGTATGGCGAGGCGTGACAGCTATGAAGTATGGCACTCATTTCCTCCTCAGGAACACATCTCCGCACCAACTAATCTGCACATAGCCTGTATAAGAATGGCTCATCCCACATGTAGAGCCTCACGTCATGAAAGAACCTTTTTCTATTGTCTGGTGTCAATTCTGGTGGTGTCACCCCACTTGCAATAAAGTTCACATAATCTGCATACCACGGGGCTGTGCTTGAGGTGATTACCAACAACTGCTCATCAGGGAATGTTTCTTTGATTGCACCCCCTTCAGCTACATGGTTCCGATTTTCTAATCTGGACAAGTGATCAGCCACTTGATTCTCTGTTCCTTTGCGATCTCGGATCTCTAAATCAACTCTTGCAAGAGTAGGACCCACTGAATCAGTCTCGGCTTGGTGTCTTTCTTCTCAAATAGATACCTGATAGCTGAATGATCTGTGTAGACAGTGACTTTGGTCCCCACCAGATATGATCTAAACTTGTCAAACGCCCATACCACTGCAAGCAACTCTTTTTCAGTAACTGTGTAATTCATCTGGGCTGGATTCAGAGTTTTGCTCGCATAGTAGATGGAGTGAAAGATTTTATTTCTCCTTTGTCCCAATACAGCTCCCAAAGCTATGTCACTCGCATCACACATCAACTCAAAGGGTTGCCCCCAATCCGGGGCAATGATAATTGGTGCAGTCACTAGCTTTCCCTTCAACTCCTCAAATGCTTTCAGACAGGCATCATCGAACTTGAAGGGGACATCTTTCTCGAGCAACCTGCACAAGGGAGAGGAAATTTTCGTAAAATCTTTGATGAAATGACGATAAAAACCTGCATGGCCCAAGAAACTGCGAATGCCTTTGACAGATGTTGGTAGAGGCAATTTTTCAATCGCTTCCACCTTTGCCTTGTCCACCTGCAAACCATTTTTAGACACCTTGTGCCCAAAAACTATACCTTCACGTACCATGAAATGGCACTTCTCCCAGTTTAGCACTAAGTTAGTTCCTTCACACCTAGCAAGCACTTTATCGAGATTCATCAAGCAGTTATCAAAAGAACATCCAAACACAGAAAAATCATCCATGAACATTTCCACAAACATCTCGACCATGTCAGTAAAAATAGCCATCATACACCTTTGAAAAGTCGCAGGTGCGTTACAAAGACCAAATGGCATTCTCTTGAACGCATACGTGCGTAAATGTGGTCTTCTCTTGGTCCTCCGGGCTATAGAAATCTGATTATACCCCGAGTAACCATCCAAGAAGCAGTAGTACTCCTGGCCAGCTAATCTATCAAGCATTTGGTCAATAAAAGGGAGGGGGAAGTGGTCCTTTCGGGTGGCATTGTTCAATTTTCTATAATCAATGCAAATTCTCCACCCAGTGACAGTTCTTGTGGGGATCAAATCATTATTTTCATTAACTACTACAGTCATCCCCCCTTTCTTGGGTACACATTGAACGGGACTTACCCATTTGCTCTCTGAGATAGGAAATACAATACCTGCATCAAGCCACTTAATCACTTCTTTTCTTACTACCTCTTTCGTGATTGGATTGAGTCAGCGTTGTTGCTCTACACTGGGCTTGTGTTCATTCTCCATGAGGATTTTGTGCATGCAAAAGGCTGGACTAATGCCCTTTATGTCAGACATCGTCCACCCAATTGCTCGCTTGTGCTCACGTAGCACTCTCAACAACTTCTCTTCCTGCAATATAGACAAGTCAGAAGAAACAATCACAGTTAAAGTGTCAGATTCAACCAAATAAGCATATCGAAGGTGAGGTGGGAGAGGTTTAAGCTCCAGTTTTGGGGATTCCTGAATGGACGGCTTTGGGGGCGGCCCTTCTGGCCTGTTCAAAGGCTCAAAGGGGTGTACCCCTTGCATGTACGCACAAGATGTATCTAAGATTTGCATCATCTCTTCAACCTCATCATCATTCCCCAGGCTATCAAACAACATAAGTGCTTTCTCTAGAGAGTCGTCTAGATATACACTCATGTCAAGAATTTGCTCATCAACCTCAACAACAGATATCATTGAGAGCTCCTCATAGTGGCGGGGGGAGTTGGATTGCTTTATACACATTAAAGACTGCTTCCTCGTCATCTACCCTCAAGATCATTTTTCCTTCTCTCACTTTGATAATTGCATCACCAGTAGCCAAGAGTGGTCGCCCCAATATTATTGGGACCAGTTCGTCAGCCTCATAATCCAGGATAATGAAGTCAGCTGGGAAGATAAATTTTCCAATTTGTAGCAATACGTCTTCAATCACCCCCTCGGGGTGTACTATAGATCTATCAGCCAGCTACAACATCACAGTAGTTGGCCTTGGAGCTCCCTGGCCCAATTTCTTCAACAAGGATAGGGGCATCAGATTTATGCTTGCCCCAAAATCACAAAGAGCATGTCCCACATCAATATTACCAATTCGCACAGGGATGGTGAAGCTGCCAGGATCCTTAAGCTTTTGAGGGAGCTTATTTTGGACCCTCGAAGTGCACTCCTCAGTAAGTGCAACTGCCTCAAATTCAGTCAATCTTCTCTTGTGAGACACTATATCTTTTATTTACTTGGCATATTTTGGAATTTCACGGAGCACATCAACAAGTGGAATATTCAATTGAACCTGGCTCAACATGGAGAGAAATTTGCACATGCGATCATCATTCTTTTTCTGCAGTCTCTGGGGGAAAGGGGGTGGTGGCCTTGGGGCCCCCACTGGCTCTAGAATTTCAGCAGCATTCTTTGGTTCTTGTGTTACTTTAGGGATCAACTCCCCCTCAGGTACGGGCTTATCTTTCCTCTTCTTTGGCACTTCCTCTAGCTCCCTCCCGTTTCTAAGTGAAACTGCATTCACTTGAGGGTTCTTCTCTGTATCACTTGGGAGAGTGCCTGCAGGTCTAGTGTTTTGATTGGTTGCTAACTGCCCCATCTGCCTCTCAAGTTTCTGAAATCGGTCCTAAGCTGCTGATTGTCAATCAACAACTTCTTTAACAAATCATTGGTGCTTTCTTCCATTTGTTGCAGTGGTCTTTGAGGCTGATTGAAACCCCCCTGGGGTCTATGCTGATTCTGATTCTGCTCCCATGAGAAGTTGGGATGATTCCTCCAATTTGGATTGTAAGAATTTCCGTATTGAGCATGCTGATTCGGGGGACCTCTGTTCTGTTGCCCCACATAATAGATGGATTCTGGATTTGTGGGGCACATGTCACTCATATAATTGTCACCATATAATTCGAAGCAAATAGCCATTTGGTGCACATGTTGCATTGTTTATGGTTGCTGCATTGTCATCCTATTCATCTGATTGGCTAGCTTTGCAATATCGGCTCTCATGGCTGACAAGTCGTCGAGCTCAAGTAATCCAGCTATTTTTTGCTTTATTGTCCGTCGTGAGTCACCCTCACCTTGCCAGTTATTATCATTAGCCGTGAAGGTATTCAGCAAGAGTTGGATTTCACTGTATGGTCGGGCCATGCAACTACCCCCACAAGCCGAATCAAGATTTATCTTTGATACATCATCTAACCCATCTACAAAAGGGTGGCCCAATACCTCGTCCGTCTGACAATGATGTGGACAATCTCTGAGCATCTTCTTGTACCTTTCCCATGCTTGACGAAGTGTCTCGCCAGCTCGTTGTTCGAACCCAAAAATTTGACTCCTCAACACCTTTGTTTTCTTAGTGGGGAAAAACTTGATTAAGAATTTCCTTGCCAAATCATCCCAAGTGCTGATTGAATTAGCTGGCTCCTTATTCAACAACTCCTTAGCTTCCCCGATTAGAGAAAAGGGGAAAAGTGTAAGCCTGATATAGTCCTTGGAAACGTTCGGATAGTTGTAAGTATCCGTAATTTCCAGAAAATTTTGAATATGCCTCTGCGGGTCTTCATGAGGTAGACCCACAAATTGCCCTGTGGACTGGATCAGCTGCACCATATATTGTTTCAGCTCAAAGTGCCCAGTGATATCAGGCTTCACAATAGCCTGAGTCATATTAGCCAGATTGGGCCTTGCGGCTTCAATCACCGCGCGTTCCTCATTACTTGCCATCTCAATTAGCTGTGGTTGAACTGCGATGTCCAACTCTCTTTCAATTCTGGTTCTAGCGTCCACCTCCCTCCTCAATCTGTGAAGTGTTCGTTCAATTTCGGGATTGAGAGGAAGGAGATTGTTTGCGCTTCTACTTCTTCGCCTTCAATAGAAACTCCTGTATTACCACAAACAAAGTGAACTGAAAGTTAAAACTCGAATAAATAAATAGTAAAAGCTTAATTCAGTCAAGTAGCTAATTTCTAAGTCCCCGGCTACGGCGCCAAAAACTTGTTGCGACCAAAACACTCACGCAAGTGCACGTGATCGTCAAGTAATAGAGTAGTGAGTAGAGTATCGTTCCCACAAAGACTTGTGATTAACTCTTGACTGATTCAACTCAATTACTTTATTAATCCAAGAGGTTTTTCACAAAATCGAGATGTAATTGTTTTACTACCTAACTATCAAGAAATAATCTAACTAGAGAAATTAACCAAACGAGTAGCAAGTTCAAGTAACAAACAGTAGGAGAGGATATTCCAGGGGTCACGGGCTAGTTAACAATCGTGTTGTGTTCTTGGCTTAAAACGACTAATCGATTTATCTGGATTGTTGATTGACAAGGTTTATATTACTCATAAGAATATGTCGAGTTCCTACTCGCCTATTAAGCTAACTTAATGCCTATATGTCTATAGAGTCAAGATTAACAAGAATGCATTTACAATTCTTGTATTCCAACCAAGCAAGGCAATTGGGTATATGTCTATCCCAATCGCGAATCCGTTCCCCGAGGCCCGGGTTCAAGAACTTGCTATATTTAATTCTATATGCAATCTAAAGTTCCCACTTTCGAGTTCAACTCTAGATTTGTAGATAGTATTTCACTGTTAGCTACTCAGCAAAATAATTAAAATCAGAATTAAATAAACAATCCAATATGACAAACCAACTTCGTCGAATTAAACGTCAAACATCAACTTTCATGTTTCACCCATGACCACAGAATAATGGGTTTTAGCTACTCATACTAAAGTTCAACACAATAGGGTTCAATTTCATCACAAATAGCAAAAACAAAGGAAAGAAAAGAAGAACTTGATGGTCAAATCTCCTCCTTGCCTCTTGCCTCTTGATACCTTGCACTAGCCTATGAAAAACTTGATAAATTAACCTTGGGCGAGCTTGACTTTATATAGGTTAAGTGGGTTTCTCTCCAGATTTCCAATTTTGCCCGTGAATAACTCTTTTTCGGACTGGGAAACGCGCGAGCTTGCGCGTGACCTCGCGCATCATTCTGCCTCAGCTCCCTAACACGCGCGACTTCGCGCATGAGCTCGCGCATCCGCTCGTGCACCTGGACCATCATTTCTTCCATTTCTTTGTCTCGTCCTTGCGCGCACTCAGCTACGAGGGGTCGTTCTTGCTCATAAATCATTCCAATAGCCTCTTGAAAGCATCACATAAGCTCCTCATCCTGCAATGTATACAATTCAAAATTAGAGCCTATTTTTCATCAATTAACCATATTATGACATTGGAATATAATCAAGCGCAAGCATAAACAATAGCTAAATCACCTAGATTTAACCTATTATCACCTCATCAGTACACTTTGCCTCGACCCTAACCCCAAGACTACACCCAAGCTACATACAATCCACCCCAACTTTATTTCCTACCACAAGACCCTCAATACCCAGTCAGACCACCCCAATACCATTTTCACCACGCACAATCATATGCTCAACCCCCTCCTTACTCGCAATGGCATGCTCCAACCCCCACAAAATCATTATCCACCCCCGCAAACCTACTAAAACCCAGTGGTCCAAACTTTCTTTTAAGGCTGGAGTATAAGAGAGAAAAGCAGCAACAGAATGAAACCTTTAACCATCTGGGAGAGTCCTATGCCAGTTTGTTTGAAAGGTTGAGGTAATTGGACGTGTTGAGGCCGATTATGGTAAAGGTACCAAATCCACCCCCAAAGAACCTTCATTATTCTCTGATGTGCGCATATTGTTCTGATGCTTCGGGGCATGACATAGAGAAGTGTTGGAATTTGACGAGGACAATCCAAG